TCATTGGAGAGTGGTGAGTACTCCCACGAGTTTGATCCCCCGCAGCGACGATTTTTAATTTTCTTTTGAATTCGAAATTCGGTAGTGGTAAACCAGATGATTTGGGTTTGTTTCACAACAACGAAATTCGGGATGAATTCGAAATTCGGTAGTGGTAAACCAGATGATTTGGGTTTGTTTCACAACAACGAAATTCGGGATTGGATTCCTTTTTCTCTCGTGTGTTAACAAATAAGATATTTTTCAGAGGTCGATGTAATACAGTAGTGAGTATTCCCGCTGGTCACTCGAGAGACCTGGTTTTGAACCCCAAACATAATAAGCTTAATTTTCTTTTGAAAATTTGCACCGCATTCTAAATAGGATTACTTGTTCCGAATCTTCGATTGATAAAATCTAGAGCGTTTACAATGGATCACTTTTTCTAAAGGCAATTCGTAAAATCTGGAGCTTTAACAAATAATTTATTTTTTATGAGTCGTTTTAGTGGTACAATGGGGAGTATTTTCGCTTGTCATTCGAGTTATTATGTTCCAAAGGTCGCTGAAGTAAAAGGGCGTGCATTCCTGCTTGTCACTCAGTGACCCAAGTTTGATCCTGAACAATTACAAGTTTAATCTTGTTTTTACCATTTTAGTCGGATTCAAAATTGAATTACTTTTTGTAAGGGCGATGGATAAAATCTTGTTTGTTAACAAATATTATATTTTTTTGAAAGTCGTCGTTGGAGAGTGGTGAGTACTCCCACCAGTTTGATCCCCCGCAACGACGATTTTTAATTTTCTTTTGAATTCCAAATTCGGTAGTGGTGAACCGGATGATTTGGGTTGGTTTCCCAACAACGAAATTCGGGATTTGATTCCTTTTTCTCTCGTGTGTTAACAAATAATATATTTTTCAGAGGTCGATGTAATACAGTAGTGAGTATTCCCGCTTGTCACTTGAGAGACATGAGTTTGAACCCCGACAATAATAAACTTAATTTTCTTTTGAAAATTTGCACCGCATTTGAAATTGGATTACTTCTTCCGAATCTTCGATTGATAAAATCTAGAGCGTTGACAATGGATCACTTTTTCTAAAGACGATTGGTAATTTATTATTTATGAGTTGTTTTAGTGGAACAGTGGGGAGTATTTCCGCTTGTCACTCTAGTTATTATGTCCCTGAGGTCGTTGTAATACAAGGGTTAGCGTTCCTGCCTGTCACTCGAGTGACCTGAGTTTGATCCCGAACAATAACATGTTTAATCTTGTTTTGACAATTTTAGTGGGATTCAAAATTGGATTACTTTTTGTAACGGCAATTGATAAAATCATGTGTTTTGACGAATATTACATTTTTCGATACTCGTCGTTGAAGAGAGGTGAGTACTCCCGCGAGTTTGATCCTGTGCAACGACGATTTTTAATTTTCTTTTGAATTCAAAATTCGATAGTGGTGAACCGGATGATTTAGATTTGTTCCCCAACAACGAAATTTGGGATTGGATTCCTTTTTCTCTCGTTTGTTAACAAATAATATATTTTTCAGAGGTCGATGTAATACAGTAGTGAGTATTCCCGCTTGTCACTCGAGAGACCTGAGTTTGAACCCCGACAATAATAAGCTTAATTTTCTTTTGACAATTTTCACCCGGTTTGAAATTGGATTACTTGTTCCAAATCTTCGATTGATAAAATCTAGAGCGTTGACAATGCATCACTTTTTCTAGAGATGAATGGTTAAATCTTGCGCGTTAACAAATAATTTATTTTTTATGAGTCGTTGTAGTGGTAAAGTGGGAAGTATTTCCGCTTGTCACTAGAGTTATTATGTTGCAGAGGTCATTGTAATACAAGGGTGAGCATTCCTGCCTGTCACTCGAGTGACCCGAGTTTGATCCCGAACAATAACAAGTTTAATCTTGTTTTGACAATTTTAGTGGGACTCAAAATTGGATTACTTTTTGTAACGGCGATTGATAAAATCATGTGTGTTGACGAATATTATATTTTTCGAAAGTCGTCGTTGAAGAGAGAGGAGTTCTCCCACGAGTTTGATCCCCCGCAACGACGATTTTTAATCTTCATTTGAATTCGAAAGTCGGTAGTGGTGAACCGTATGGTTTGGGTTTGTTCCCCAACAACGTAATTCGGGATTGGATTCCTTTTTCTCTCGTGTGCTAACAAATAATATATTTTCCACAGTTCGATGTTATACAGTAGTGAGTATTCCCGCTTGTCACTCGAGAGACCTGAGTTTGAACCCCGACAATAATAAGCTTAATTTTCTTTTGAAAATTTGCACCGCATTTGAAATTGGATTACTTGTTCCGAATCTTCGATTGATAAAATCTAGAGCGTTGACAATGGATCACTTTTTCTAAAGACGATTGGTAAAATCTGGAGCGTTAACAAATAATTTATTTTTTATGAGTCGTTGTAGTGGTACAGTGGGGAGTATTTCCGCTTGTCACTCGAGTTATTATGTTCCAGAGGTCGTTGTAATACAAGGGTTAGCAATCCTGCTTGTCACTCGAGTGACCTAAGTTTGATTCCAAACAATAACAAGTTTAGTCTTGTTTTGACAATTTTAGTGGGATTCAAAATTGGATTACTTTTTGTAACGGCAATTGATAAAATCATGTGTTTTGACGAATATTACATTTTTCGATACTCGTCGTTGAAGAGAGGTGAGTACTCCCACGAGTTTGATCCTGTGCAACGACGATTTTTAATTTTCTTTTGAATTCGAAATTCGATAGTGGTGAACCGGATGATTTAGATTTGTTCCCCAACAACGAAATTCGGGATTGGATTCCTTTTTCTCTCGTTTGTTAACAAATAATATATTTTTCAGAGGTCGATGTAATACAGTAGTGAGTATTCCCGCTTGTCACTCGAGAGACCTGAGTTTAAAACCCGACAATAATAAGCTAGATTTTCTTTTGACAATTTTCACTGGGTTCGAAATTGTATTACTTGTTCCGAATCTTCGATTGATAAAATCTAGAGCGTTGACAATGGATCACTTGTTCTAAAGACAATTGGTTAAATTTGGTGCGTTCACAAATAATTTATTTTTTATGAGTCGTTGTAGTGGTAAAGTGGGGAGTATTTTCGCTTGTCACTAGAGTTATTATGTTGCAGAGGTCGTTGTAATACAAGGGTGAGCATTCCTACCTGTCACTCGAGTGACTTGAGTTTGATCCCGAACAATAACAAGTTTAATCTTTTTTTGACAATTTTATTCGGATTCAAAATTGGATTACTTTTTGTAACGGCGATTGATAAAATCTGGTGTGTTGACGAATATTATATTTTTCGAAAGTCGTCATTGAAGAGAGGTTAGTACTCCCACGAGTTTTATCCCCTGCAACGACGATTTTAAATTTAGTGGTGAATCGGATGTTTTGGATTTGTTCCCCAACAACGAAATTCGGGATTGAATTCCTTTTTCTCTCGTTTGTTAACAAATAATATATTTTTCAGAGGTCGATATAACACAGTAGTGAGTATTCCCGCTTGTCACTCGAGAGACCTAAGTTTGAACCCCGACAATAATAAGCTTAATTTTCTTTTTGACAATTTTCACCGGATTCGAAATTGAATTACTATTTTCGAATCTTCGATTGATAAAATCTAGAGCGTTGACAAATAATTTATTTTTTATGAGTCGTTGTAGTGGTATAGTGGTGAGTATTTCCGCATGTCACTCGAGTTATTATGTTCTAGAGGTCATAATACAAGGGTGAGCATTCCTGCCTATCACTCGAGTGACCTGAGTTTGATCCCGAACAATAACAAGTTTAATCTTGTTTTGACTATTTTAGTCGTATTCAAAATTGGATTACTGTTTGTTACGTCGATTGATAAAATCTGGTTTGTTATTAAATATTATATTTTTCGAAAGTTATCGTTGTAAATTGGTGAGTATTCCTGCGAGTTTGATCTCCTGGAGCGACGATTTTTAATTTTCTTTTGAATTCAAAATTTGGTAGTGGTGAACCGGATGATTTGGGTTTGTTCCCCAACAACGAAAATCGGGACTGGATTCTTTTTTCTCTCGTGTGTTAACAAATAATATATTTTTCAGTGGTCGATGTAATACAGTAGTGAGTATTCTCGCTTGTTACTCAAGAGACCAGAGTTTGAACCCCGACAATAATAAGTTTAATTTTCTTTTGACAATTTTCACCGTATTTGAAATTGGATAACGTGTTCCGAATCTTTGATTGATAAAATCTAGAGCGTTCACAATGGATAAATTTTTCTAAAGACAATTGGTAAAATCTGGAGCGTTAACAAATAATTTATTTTTTATGAGTCGTTGTAGTATATTGGTGAGTATTTCTGCCTATTGTCACAATCGCACTTTTAATGGCAACAGACTTTTGATTGTGCGGCAGCCAATTCGTTCTTGCGTCGTCTACGGCTAAGCGATGTATGCTCGAGCCTCTGGCCTCGGTTTTAGAAAGTGAGGGCAGAGATAGATTTTTTTAAGAGACGTTATATAAGCAAGCAAGAGAGAAATAACAACGACTTACCGTATATAATCTTGGGCAGGGGGAAGTTGAAAACTAGTCGTATCCCCCTATAGTACATTATGAGGCATTTCATGTCTGACTGGCCTAGACATGATATTTCTGAAACGTCATCCTTTCTAGAAATATAAAAGTAAAACACTAGAATATGAAAAGACATGAAGGGTTGAGTTTTTCATGGGCATGCGGCCATGGGCAACTTGCGTTGGACAGAAATATAATAGTAAAACACAAGAATATGAAAAGACATGATGGGTTGGGTTTGTCATTGGCATGCGGCCATGGGCAACATGCCTTGGACTAGCATGACCGTGACATCCTCCCTCACCTAATTGGTTGACGTCCCTGTCAACCGACTACTTTCAAACCTTGCGATGTGGGTGGCGGCAGAGTCTAGATTTTCAGCTCGTTCCCAGCTGGTTTCCTACATAGGGAGATTCTTCCATTTGACAAGAAATTTGCAAATCGTCCGTACAGGTCTTCCTATCTTCCTAACTCTGTCGGCTAGGATCTTCTCTATTTCTTTGTTGTCTCTTTGTTTCAGATCGATGCTCGGTCTCGGAATTACATTTAGCTGGTCCTCGTCCGGGTCTGGGTGATAGGGCTTCAAGTTGCTCACATGAATTACTGGGTGATATTTCATCCATGTGGGTAGCGCAACTCTGTAAGAGGTAGCCCCGATCTTTTTAAGGACTTCAACCGGGCATTCATATTTTCGAACTAGTCTCTGGTTCTTTTGACTGCGAAATCTTATCTGTTTTGGTCTCAACTTGATGAGGACTTGATCTCCTGCTCGAAATTGGAGGGTGCGACGCTTCTTGTCCGCCCACTTCTTCATATGCTTGGAAGCTTTCTTTAAATATGTCCGAGATATATTTGTTGTCTGCTTCCATTCTCTTGTGAAGTTTTGAGCATGAGGGTTTTTTCCTGCATAAGAAGAATCAATAATATGAGGCGAAGGTGATTATAGTTCACTTACAATTTAAAAGGGACTCTTTCCCTTAGACGAGCTCGTTTGACAATCGAAATAGAATTGAGCGACATCTAGTAGTTGTATTCAGGTCTTCTAGCGAGCGTCGAGGAAGTGACGTAAGTATTCTTTAAGCAAGCAGTTGAACCATTCCGTCTGTCCATCGGTTTGAGGGTGATAGCTCGATGAGATGTTTAAAGTCGTTCCCAAGAAGGCAAATAATTTGGTCCAGATGGTGCCAATGAATCTACCATCCCTTTCATTGATGACGCTCAACGAAATGCCCCATAACTTGACAACGTGTTTGAAAAATAGTTGGGCTGTTAGTTCAGCAGAGCATAATTTTGGAGTGGGGACGAACGTCGCATATTTTGAGAACCGGTCTACGATAACCAAGATGGCGTCATATTCCCCGATTTTTGGGAGGTGTGTTATGAAGTCCAGAGATACACTTTCCCAAGGCCTTGTTGGCACAGGTAGAGGTTCCAAGAGTCCCGAGACTTTGGCTTTCTCAACTTTGTCTTGTTGGCAGATGAGGCACGTCTTGGTGTACTGCATGATGTTGTCCCGCATATTCGGCCAGAAGTACCTCTTTTTTATTAGGGCATATGTTCTTTGCCACCCAAGGTGTCTGGCCCATAAGGTATCATGATATTCCTGAATGAGCTTCTTTCTCAGTTCACCCGTTCTTGGGACGTATAATCTATTTCCTTTAGTCATTAGAAGGTCTCCCTCGACCCAAAATTGTCGTGTCTTCCCAGCTTTAGCTAGCTTGACAACGACTTTGGCTGATGGGTCTCTGTGTAAATGTTCTTTGATGATGTCGCGCATCGATCCATCGATCTTACTTGAATGAATATGGGCTAACATGCACAAGGCCGCATGTTCACCCTTCCGACTCAGCGCATCGGCTGCTTGATTACTCTTCCCTACCTTGTATTCGAATTTGAAGTCGAATTCTACCAGCGACTCTTGCCACCGGGCTTGTTTTTCCGTCAATTTTGGTTTATCGAAGAAGTGGCAGATAGCGCTGTTATCCGTCTTCACCATGAACTGTGATCCCAAGAGATACTATCTCCAGACTCATAGGCAATGGACTATAGCCAGCATTTCTTTTTCGGAGACAGTGTATCTCCATTCGGCATCATTAAACTTTCGACTTTCATAAACGATGGGGTGGACTTCTGGAATAAGGACACCACCTAGGGCAAAGTCGGAAGCATTTGTTTCTATTTCAAATGGCTTTATAACATCTACTAACCCGAGGACAGGACCCCTCGTCATGGTTGCCTTCAGATCTTCAAAGGTCATTTGACATTTATTTCACCACGACCAAGGGTGGACTTTCTTGTGGAGCTCTGTTAAGGGGGCGGCTCGTCGTGAAAACCCTTCGACGAACTGCCTATAGTAGTTTGCTAATCCTAAGAAGGACCGCACATCAGATATGGAAGTAGGGACTTTACACTCTTCGATAGCTTTCATCTTATCACTATCCATCTCGATCTGTCCACAACTGATGATATGTCAGAGGAAGTTGATGCATGTTTGTGCATAGGCACATTTTTCTTTCTTGACGTACAACTGATTCTACCACAGCTTGTCAAATATCAGCTTCAAGTGCAACTTGTGTTTCTCTAGGGTTGTGCTATATACAACTATGTCGTCGAGGTATACTATGACGAACTGACCGTAGCTGGGGCGTTTGTCAAGCCAAAGGGCATTTTCAGGAACACAAAGGCTCCATATCTTGTCACAAATGTCGTTTTGGACTCGTCCCCCTCGGCGATACGTACTTGGTAGTACCCTGATCGTAAGTCCAACTTCGTGAAGTATTTGGCCCCATGAAGAGTGATACCAAATGATATGAACCAAAAAACATCAATCATACAATATACTTCAATGACGTTGTGAAGAAAAAGTTGTCAAAATTATCAAAAGATGTTTCAATGCATGCCACATTGAAGAAGAGTGAAGCTTGATTGTTATAAATTTTGGGTGGGTTACAATTTAGAGTTTTTAGGACTTTTTATTTACTTTAGGTTACAATTACATAATGGTTAATTATGACCATTAAGTATGAATGTTACAATTCTTGGAATGCCTAGTAGTTTCATTTTGAGGCTATATAAAGCCATGTATGTTGTATTTGTAAGAGACTTGGAAAATGTAGTAAAAGAAGCATTTGTGCTCTTCTTTAGCCAATGGCTAAGTTTCTTTGCAATTCTATGTAGTTTAGGTTGCATGTAGAATCATTCAAGCTCGACATGATCAATCTTGCTTGTGGAGTGATTCGAATCTCAAGCAAGTGTTCTTGCCTTGAGATATTTGATCAACAAGAATCATTCAAGCTAGACATGATCGATCTTGCTTGTGGAGTGATTCGAATCTCAAACAATGTTCTTGCCTTGAGATATTCGATCAACAAGGTAATCCGAATCTTACTCCCCTTGAAGTGGTTCCATATCTTATCATTTGGTATCAGAGCTTAAGGCTCAAGATCGGATATATGTTTCCTTTGCATTTCTTTTCAATTTGTTTTTATCTTTTTAGTTTTTAATCGACCCAAAATAAAGAAAATCAAATCTGGGCTCTACTAGAAAATTTGAGAGGTGAGGATGAGAGATTCATTTGTGTAAATGAGTGCAAACAGAGTGGCCTAAAATTCCTTGAGTGTATACACGTGAGAGAGTGTTATGAGGTCCTTTGTATTTCCATAACTTATTTTTTGCAGCAAAGTTTCACAAATAGATTCGAGGACGAATCCTCTTGAAGAAGTGGAGAATGATATGAACCAAAAGACATCAATCATACAATATACTTCAATGAAGATGTGAAGAAAAGGTTGTCAAAATTATCAAAAGATGTTTCAATTCATGCCATATTGAAGAAGAATGAAGTTTGATTGTTATAAATTTTGGGTGGGTTACAATTTAGAGTTATTGTATTTCATTTATGTATTTTAAGACTTTATTTACTATAGGTTACAATTACATAATGGTTAATTATGGCCATTAAGTATGAATGTTACAACTCTTGGAATGACTTTAGTAGTTTCATTTTGAGGCTATATAAAGCCATGTATGTTGTATTTGTAAGAGACTTGAAAAATATAGTAAAAGAAGCATTTGTGCTCTTCTTTAGCCAATGGCTAAGTTTCTTTGCAATTCTATATAGCGTAGGTTGCATATAGAATCATTCAAGCTCGACATGATCAATCTTGCTTGTGGGTGATTAGAATCTCAAACAAGTGTTTGAGATATTTGATCAACAAGAATCATTCAAGCTAGACATGATCGATCTTGCTTGTGAAGTTATTTGAATCTCAAACAATGTTCTTGCCTTGAGATATTCGATCAACAAGGTAATCTGAATCTTACTCCCATTGTAGTGGTTCCTTATCTTATCACTACTAGACGGTTTTTTGCTGCTCGTAGGAGCAGCTTTTTCTTCGAGTGAGGTCACTCAAAACAACAGTTCTGCGATTGGCAACCCATCAAGACGGTTACCCATTGCGTCGATCTCTACGACTTTTCCACTCAATTCTTTCACCCGTGCTTCCAGGAAGCGGATGGTGTCAGGGACTTATTTCAGGAACAGCATTTCCTCCTCTATTAAAGTATGTCGGTCGGCCTGTGATTTGGGTGTCGACTTTGTCATCGACATGTTTTCGGTCTTTGCTATTTCACGGAGCTTACAAAGCTCTAATACCACTTGTCACAATCGCACTTTTAATGGCAGTGCACTTGCGATTGTGCGACACTCACTTTCCAACGACAAGTGAGCTAAGACAATTCGTTCTTGTGTCACTTACGGCCAAGTGACTTATGCTCGAGCCTTTGGCCTCGGTTTTAATAGAAGGTTTTAGAAAGCGAGGGAAGAGAGAGATTTTCGAAAGAGAGATTTTTGAAAGAGACGTTATATAGGCAAGCAAGAGAGAAATAACAACGGCTTACAGTATATAACCTTGGGTAGGGAGAAGTTGACAACTAGTCGTATCCCCCTATAGTACATTATGAGGCATTTCATGTCTAACAAGCCTAGACATGATATTTCTGAAACGTCATACTTCTTAGAAATATAAAAGTAAAACACTAGAATATGAAAAAACATGAAGGATTGGGTTTGTCATTGACATGCGGCCATGGGAAACATGCCTTGGAAAGAAATATAAAAGTAAAACACTAAAATATGAAAAGATATGAATGATTTTTGTCATGGGCATGCGTCCATGGGCAACATGCCTTGGGCGAGCATGACCATGACACCTGTCACATCGGTGACCCGGGTGTGATCCCCAGCAACGACGATTTTAGTTGTTTTCTTTTCGTAATTTTAACGAAACTCAAAATTGGACAACGGTAAACCTGTCATGTCCGTAGTTTGGGTTCGATCCCCAACAACGGTAGATTGAAAAGAAAGTCAGAACTGGATTTCTTTTCCAAAAAATTGGTTTATGAAATCTTGTGTTTTAACAAATAATAAGGTTTATGAGGTCGTTGTAGTGGTACAATGGTGAGTATTTCCGCTTGTCACTCGAGTTATTATGTTCCAAAGGTCGTTGTAATACAAAGGTGAGCATTCCTGCTTGTCACTCGAGTGACCGGAGTTTGGTCCCGAACATTAACAAGTTTAATCTTGTTTTGACAATTTTAGACGGACTTAAAATTGGATTACTTTTTGTAACGGCGATTGATAAAATCTGGTGTATTAACAAATATTATGTTTTTCGAAAGTCGTCGTTGTAGAGTGGTGAGTATGATTTCTTTTCCAAAAAATTGGTTTATGAAATCTTGTGTTTTAACAAATAATAAGGTTTATGAGGTCGTTGTAGTGGTACAATGGTGAGTATTTCCGCTTGTCACTCGAGTTATTATGTTCCAAAGGTCGTTGTAATACAAAGGTGAGCATTCCTGCTTGTCACTCGAGTGACCGGAGTTTGGTCCCGAACATTAACAAGTTTAATCTTGTTTTGACAATTTTAGACGGACTTAAAATTGGATTACTTTTTGTAACGGCGATTGATAAAATCTGGTGTATTAACAAATATTATGTTTTTCGAAAGTCGTCGTTGTAGAGTGGTGAGTATGATTTCTTTTCCAAAAAATTGGTTTATGAAATCTTGTGTTTTAACAAATAATAAGGTTTATGAGGTCGTTGTAGTGGTACAATGGTGAGTATTTCCGCTTGTCACTCGAGTTATTATGTTCCAAAGGTCGTTGTAATACAAAGGTGAGCATTCCTGCTTGTCACTCGAGTGACCGGAGTTTGGTCCCGAACATTAACAAGTTTAATCTTGTTTTGACAATTTTAGACGGACTTAAAATTGGATTACTTTTTGTAACGGCGATTGATAAAATCTGGTGTATTAACAAATATTATGTTTTTCGAAAGTCGTCGTTGTAGAGTGGTGAGTATGATTTCTTTTCCAAAAAATTGGTTTATGAAATCTTGTGTTTTAACAAATAATAAGGTTTATGAGGTCGTTGTAGTGGTACAGTGGTGAGTATTTTCGCTTGTCACTCGAGTTATTATGTTCCAAAGGTCGTTGTAATACAAAGGTGAGCATTCCTGCTTGTCACTCGAGTGACCGGAGTTTGGTCCCGAACATTAACAAGTTTAATCTTGTTTTGACAATTTTAGACGGACTCAAAATTGGATTACTTTTTGTAACGGCGATGATAAAATCTGGTGTATTAACAAATATTATGTTTTTTGAAAGTCGTCGTTGTAGAGTGGTGAGTATTCTCGTGAGTTTGATCCACTGCAGTGATGATTTTTAATTTTCTTTTGAATTTGAAATTCGGTAGTGGTGAACCGGATGATTTGGGTTTATTCCCCAACAACGAAATTCGGGATATGATTCCTTTTTCTCTCGTGTGTTAACAAATAATATATTTTTCAGAGGTCGATGTAATACAATAGTGAGTATTCCCGCTTTTCACTCGAGAGACTTGAGTTTGAATCCCGACAATAATAAGTTTTATTTTCCTTTGACCAATATTACAGGATTTTAAATTGATTAGTTGTTCCGAATCTTCTATTGATAAAATCTAGAGAGTTGACAATGGATCTCTTTTTCTAAAGACGATTGGTAAAATCTGGACCGTTAACAAATAATTTATTTTTTATGGGTCGTTGTAGTATACTGGTGAGTATTCCTTCCTATCACGCAGGTGACCCGATTTTGATCCCTGCCAACGGCGATTTTAGTTGTTTTCTTTCTGTAGTTTTAACGAAACTCGAAATTAGACAGCTGTGAACTTGTCATGCCGGTAGTTTGAGGT